CTCAGCCGCAATTCAGGCCGAAACTATCGAAACCGACTCTGAAGCCAAACATCCACAAGAGATCCAACTCTCCGCAAGCATGCACTACTGACTGCGACTGCCCAGATCCAACATCCTTCGACTAAACACGCGAGTCACTAAACCGTCAACGTCGAAATGCCGAGCCCATCTGAAACCTGTAGACTTAGCGGCTGCGTTCATAAGGCCCAAAAGGTGTACACTTTGAGCTTTATGGTGGCTAATATTGCCCCACGAAGAGTGAAGTGTATCCACTCAGCTACTGAGGTAGAGCCGACACCCTGGTCACCCAATCTCTGCAAACCGCAGTGAAAGCGCAAAAAACGGGCTTTTCATTCAAGAAAACCAAGATTTCTTGGTCGGGTGGAGGCACCTGCAGGAGGCCTGAGGGGGGGGGGCCAAGGGTCTGGAGTCTAGGGCTCCGTTAAAGGGTTCTATGAGAAACAGAGCCACGGTTTAGGGTTTAGGGTAGGAACCGGTACTGTAAGGGTTCCAGAAGGGGTTTTAGGGTTTCAAGGCCTTCGAGTGTAATATGTTCAGGCCTCACGGTTCGAAAGTTGTGGACCGCTCTGGTGCGGCTATTCTCGGGTATCTCGGGATTAGGGTGTTGAAGGATTCATGGTGTAGGGGTTTGGGGAATGCAGTCCTTGGTTTGGGATCTCTAACGTTTCATGATCTATATAAGCTGTTCAAGTTGCGAGCTTAGCAGGGGTAGCAAAGCGCAGAGGGCAAAGTCCGGTATCCTGCAGGGCACCTCCGTGTCCTAGCACTAACGAGGCCGCATGACGAGGAACTGGGATCATGGAGGAATGCAACCTGGCTCCACAGGTCACATCACAAATGCCTGGTCTCGAAACATACTCACATCCTCCGTTCCGAAATGAAGATAACCACCATCCCTGCATATTGAATCCTACAGGCTTACTCGGTAAGGGTGTAGGGGTTTACGGGCATCGACGGTAGAATTTGGGCCTACCATGCGGGAGGCTGCCATCGATTCCATTTGCCCGTTCCTAGCAGAAGGTCCTACTGATGGGTTCCGGTTCCCGCATTTGGAGGTTTGGGCTTCAGAGTTCACGGTTTGTGGGTGCGTGTGTTTATTTTGTTCGGGCTCTTGGGCTTGGGGTTTGGGTTCTGCGGTATGGGAGGGTTAAGGGACGAGCGTTCATGCATCTGAAGTGGGGTCCCTCAACAGGGCGACAGGCAAGACTTATGGCGGTTAACCTTTTCGTTGCTCCAAGCCCTGCCAATCCACAAAGCCGAAAGTAGGCATTCTTTCCTGACTGTAAACACCAAAGTCACCAAAGTAGGCATTGTTCATATTCGTGGAGACTTAGGGGAGGAAACAAAAAAGCGGGGCTGTGCTGCAAATCACTGAGCAGAGGCTGAACACTACGACCTCCATGGGAAAAGGTCCTCCTTGGGACTGTTCCAGACGGGATGGAGTTGCATCCCTTCCCAGAGGGCAAGAGGATAGCGACTCCCTTAAAGAATTCTATGTAGGAACTACTTTGCTGCCTATGGGTAGTGGCGTAAGGTTCAACAGTAAAGCCTTCAGCACCCCAGACCTAAACCCTGTAAACCTTGTACCTTTTTCAGTGTATCCCTACGGACTCAGAGGACCGAGCACGTCAAGTCGGAACATACTGACAAGAAGCAACCTGATTCAAGCTATCCTGCTTCTCTTCCGACTCCAAGCCCCTTAATCTAATCAATCTCTTGTTTGGTCTGGGCCGAGCCTTCAACCCCACCCACTTCCCAAACAACAGGCAACATTTAGAGGTCGCAAGATTTAGGCTCCTGGGAACCTAAGATACCCTCAAGACCAATCCGACATCCCAAGTCGTAGAAACATTGTTTACAACACAAGGATCCCCCAACAGCGGACATCCGAGGACGCATGGGTCCCTCTTCTCCAGTTCATACAATGGCCCGACCAGCTCGAATAAGACGATTACGGCTTGAACACTTGCATTTTGGGGGCTCCTTGTTATGATTTGCTTACATGAATCCTTAAACAGGAAAGGTTCTTCGGGGTTCAGGTAGCTTTTAAAATCATGACTCTCGAGGTGTCTCGATAGTCTTGGCAATGGAGAACTGTTAAAGTTTTTTCTTGTTTTTTAACTGGCCCTTCTCCCTACTTGTCGGGTATCATGGGGAATTAAAGGTTAACCTTTTTTGGTTATGATCGGGATCATATACGGACTGTACTACCCCAAAAGAGGTTAAAGGTCACCTACTCGACTACTAAGTTTCCGTCTGCTGCGAAAGTCTCAGAGCCAGGTCCGGTATAGGGCCCCCCCAAGCAAGAAGAACGTTGCAGTTTAGGGTTTAGGGTTTAGGGTTCGTTGCATCGCTTGCCCCTTGGGTTCCTATCAAGCCTGGCGGAAACGACCGTGTCATGAGCCTTCTCTCGTGCATTTTTGTCAGTTGAAGGCTATGTAGCATGCAGTCCCGTCTAGTTACATGTCTACTTAAAGGATCATGGGACTTAGTAACTAGGGTTATAATTAGGGTAACTATACTTATAACCCCATTTAGGGTACTTATAACCTTACTTACTAAATCCCATGATCCTCCAAGTAGACCAGATGAGCTCCGCCGTTCGTACATGTGTCAAGTCTGAGATCTTGGGTTGAGCCTTTGAAAGGCGGATGTTGAACAGATCCCACAATCACCCTAAGCCCTAAACCCTACTTGGAGGTTCATGGGCAGTTATAAGTGGGTTTATAAGTAGGGTAGCCATAGTTGTAACCCATATCAGGGGACTTATATACCCACTTTCTTTTAACTACCCCTGAACCTCCAAGTATATCATAAGCTCCACTAGGATACCCAGTAACCTAAGAATAAAAAGGCCTCTCTTTTTGGTATTGGGTAACTTTATAAGGAACCTAGGACTGCAAAAAGGGAATAAGGGTACTACTGGGCATCCTAGAAAACTATAGCAACTCTGGCCCGCACCACTTGCCCTGCTTGGAGGTTTAAGGGTACTATAGGGTTCTATGATCGGGCTCCTTGAAGGGTTCCTTAAAGGGATCTACAAGAGTTCCATCATGGAGGTTCATGGGTACGTAGTAAGTAAGGTTATAAGTACCTTCCTTAATTGGGGTTTTAAGTATAATTACCCTAATTTGTAACCCTAGTTACCAAGTCCCATGATCCGTTTAAGTAGGGCTGCAAAGTAGCCAACAGCTCATACTAGTTCGGTACTCGGGCCCAGGACAAGGGCGTCGGGTTTGGTGCTCGGTATTTGGGGGGGAGATTATTCGTTACTTGCCTCCTTCGGATTACCCATAGGCCCCAAAGTAGTTCCTTTTTAGGATTACCTTATAGGATTCCACTTGTGAGCACCAAAAAGGAACTACTATGGAGCCTCTAAGCAAGCGTAGAACTGCAGGAGGACTTCCTGCTATTACAAGGAGGCCTTCTCTAGGGTCCACACGTCCAAACACCAGGGATCGGTTTAAGGGTTTAGGGGTTAGGGTTCAGGGGTTAGGGTTTAAGGGTTTGGACTTGCAGACCACAGGCTGGATGACTAAGCATCGTGGTTTCGGGTTTCAAGACGAAGTTTTGGGATGGGGACCCGGGTTTAGAATGTTCCTCGGCGAAAAAGTATCCCCGTGGAAGGTATCCTTAACGTTGATTCTGCGTTGATCTCAAGTATACTGCAACGCGCAACCCAGCTTCATGTGCATGTCATGCTCTTGCTGTATGAAGCTCGCACCAGTGATGCAAATGCATGGGACGTGATATTTGGAACTTTCGGCACATGACGTCCAAACACGGGCCGTGCCCTTTGTCACAGAGTGAGACCTTGCAGATATTTCGGGAGATGATCTCCGATGCTAAACCGCAACCCTGCGCCCGGCGCCCTCATACTGACTGAAGCAATGGGGGCTTCTTGGAATTCGGGCTCCCTTAGTGTTGCTGGTGAAATTAACAGGTTCCCTCTGCGATGGGCACCTCGTTCTCTGGAAATTAACATGATACAACGAAAATTAACACCTATGAGATGTTGTACCTCTATGGAACCCGTACGCTATGGGCCGAGCAGCTCTTCAAAACTAAAGAGGTGTGCTGGGACGAAGCTGGCAAAGTCTTTCCAATGGCCAGCCAGTCGTCCTTAGTAGTAATTCAAGCATGATGTCCGAAAACTTGACCCCATATAGGGTACATAAACCCCAAAACCCAAACCCTAAATCTTAAACTTTTAAAGCGGCGTAAAAAAGGCAAAGGCAGACAGCTAAGCCTTGCCTTGAGAACCAGCGGACTTAACAAGTAGAGTTTCACAGACTGGCATAAGATGCTGTACAGTTCTGTTCATTGTCGCGACAATCGACTGTAAAATGCCAAAACAACAAGGTAACTAAAGTGACAATGTCTTTTGAATCCAGTCGGGGTGCATAGTCTGACTTACTATATAGCAAAAGCCAGAAAGATGGAACATCTTTGTCCTCATGGTCTTAAGGTAAAGTTTAAGGGATCCTAGCACGAATCCTCCTCAACCCATGTTTCAATTTTCTGGGGTTTACTGTCTAGGATACCCAGTAACCTAAGAATAAAAAGGCCTCTCTTTTTGGTATTGGGTAACTTTATACGGAACCTTGGACTACAAAAATGGAATACGGGCACTACTGGGCATCCTAGCCCCTAATTTTCGGAAACCCTAAACCCTTTACAGAACCTTTATAGATCCTTTTAAGGAACCCTTATAGCTCCCTTTAAAGGTACCCTTATAGATCCCTTTAAAGGTACCCCATGTTTCAACTTTCTGGGGTTTACTGTATCCCCCGATCTTACGAGTTCTGGGAGGAGTCGTCGGCAGTCTCTCTTGAGCGATTCGCTTACAGGTGCAGGGCTTCCTGCATTTGGGGGGGGGGGGGGGGGGGCTCCTGCCTTTAAGGTCGTTCGGATTTAGGGTTTACGGTTTTTGTGTTTCGGGCTAAGGATCAGTTTTCTCCAAGGATCCCCGGGGCAGATCATGAATCAGGCAGATGCCAGTACTCTGCATCCTCAACGTCCACGGGGAACATGCCCGGGAAGAAAGCATTGAGCAAAGTGAATGCCTGAGCCGTGTGTGCAACATGAAATGGGGTCATAAGGGTAGCAGCCGTATCTGTTAGTATGGATAAAGCACTGGCCCAAGACTTCGGGGGAAAGGGGAGGACTGGGTGGGCGTGAGCGATATCTCTAAGAGTGGGGAGGAGGCCAGTCGTTCGCAAATGTAGCACTAGAGAAATCTTGCATTCTTAGATGTATGTTAAAGTTTAGGCTCATGTGTGTATGGGCTAGTAAGGGGTGGGAGCTGTGAGGGCGACGCGCATAAATGAGGATCTTGTCTCTGCAGTTGCTCGAGGTTTTATCCACATTTCTTGGGATTGCTTATAGCTACCTGCAACCTTACTTACAAAAACACCCCCGATAAGCGACCCTACAAAGCAATCCAAAGTCCATATTCTCTAAGATGCCTGCCTTCTCTGTGCCTGCAGCTGAAAAGACCTACTTTTTGACGAACTATGTACAGAAACCAGAGTAAAGAACCCTAAAGGGGTAGGTCTTTTCGGCTACAGTACAGGTGAGGCCTGCTGCTTGGAGGGTCATGGGACTTAGTAAGTAAGTTTATAAGTCCCATAATTGGGGTTATAAGAAAAGTTGCCCTAATTGTAACCCTAGTTACTAAGTCCCATGATCCTTTAAGTAGACCCTATAATAGAACCCCTATAGATCCCTTTAAAGGAGCCATTTAATGAACCCTATAGTTACTAAGTCCCATGATCCTTTAAGTGGTCTCCCCTAAACCCTAAACCCTAAACCCAAAACCCTAAACCCTAAAACCCTAAACCCTAAAACCATAAACCCTAAACCCTAAACCCTAAACCCTAAACCCTAAACCCTAAACCCTAAAACCCTAAACCCTAAAACCATAAACCCTAAACCCTAAACCCTAAACCCTAAACCCTAAACCCTAAACCCCTAAACCCCTAAACCCTAAACCCTAAACCCTTCTCGGGCTTGCATGGGGACCCCAAGTTCAGAAGTCGATCGTGGACACGGGCAGTGAAAAAGGGGTTCCTTTAAGGGTCCCGTTAAAGGGATCTATAGGGATTCTATACGGGTATAGGGGTTAGGGCCTACTTGGAGGTTCAGGGGTGGTTATAAGCAGGGTTATAAGTAGGGTAACTATACTTATAACCCATAATATTGGGGGACTTATAAAACCACTTTTGACTGCCCATGTACCTCCAACTGGGGTGGTGTACAATGTAGTACGGGTCTGATAGGAGTCTATAAGGTCTTATTGGTTGGCCTTGACAGTTAGAACACAGTATGGGGAAGAAGCGAACTGATCTCAATGCTCTCGCGAAGTAACAGTACCATTGCGTAAGCAGTGCTTGTAGGAAGGTAGGGCGTAGTAAGGTCAAACGAGCCTTAAGCTTAGTTGCAGCTATATGCAGCGGATGCAACTATAATGAGCACGCGTCTTACCCCGCTTACATTTGCCAAGTTAGCTGATCCTTGAAGCAGGCCTACAGACTGAATACAAGCCCTGTACTTGGAGGTTCCTGGGTAGTTATAAGTAGGGTTATAAGCACCCTAATATGGGGGATACTCACGGCTACCCTACTTATAACCACACATATAACTGCCCCTGAACCTCCAAGTAGCACACTTACAAAGACCATAAAACTCTTGTAAACCCTACACTGCACTCACAGACCTCGTAAACCCCTGAACAAAACCACGTATCCCCCCATCTAAATCCTAAACACCTCCTGAAGCCGCCAGAGTCATAAGCAACATAAGAATCACAAGAATCACAACACTCATAATAGTCATAAACATCATAGTAAAAATTAACAGTCATATTAATCATAGTCATCATAAAATCCTGAAAGCGACCATAGCTCTGGAAGCCCTGTACGCCACAGAAGCCCAAGAAGCCTTAAACCCAATGCACTCCAGAAGCTTCCAAAATCCCAAAAACTCCAGAAGCCCTAAACCCCAAACCCCTAAACCCCAAACCTTAAACCCTAAACCCCCCATAGACTCCAGAAGCCCAAGAAGCCCTAAAGCTGAGCCGAGCTGCCTGCGACTTCGGGAGATGAAGCGGCCTGGGGACAAAGAGGAAGGAGGCCTCGTCACAGGGCGCGCGGAGGTTATAGGCTTCTTACGGACCCTAATTTTAAACCCTAAACCCTAGACCGTTTAGGGTTTAGGGGTTTAGGGTTTTTCTTCAGGGTTTGCAGGTTTAGGCAATTCGGAGTCAAGGGTTTAGGGTTCAAGGGATAAGGGTTTGAGAGCTGAAGGGCTTAAGGGTAATCTAAGCGTTTACAGGGAACTCCATAAAGTTGGAATATGGTTTCAAGGTAGGATACCCCGTAATTTACCATAAAGGGCTTAGGATAATCATATCCCAACTTTCTGGCTTTTACTTTAAGGGTTGGGAGTTTGGGAAACTGAGGCTTTGGGGTTGAAGGTTCCTCGAAACGGTTGTGGGGGTGGAGGGTTCCCTACAAAGCTGCTTCAGGTATTATTACTACTACTACTTACTACTACTTACTACTACTACTACTACTACTACTGCTACTACTACTGCTACTGCTGCTACTGCTGCTACTACTGCTACTGCTGCTACTACTGCTACTACTACTACTACTGCTACTACTACTGCTACTGCTGCTACTGCTGCTACTGCTGCTACTACTGCTACTACTGCTACTACTGCTGCTACTGCTGCTACTACTGCTACTACTGCTACTACTGCTACTGCTGCTACTGCTGCTACTGCTGCTACTGCTGCTACTACTGCTACTACTGCTACTACTGCTACTACTGCTACTACTGCTACTACTGCTACTACTACTACTACTGCTACTACTGCTACTACTGTACTACTGCTACTACTGCTGCTACTACTGCTACTACTGCTACTACTGCTACTACTGCTACTACTGCTACTACTGCTACTACTGCTACTACTGCTACTACTGCTACTACTGCTACTACTGCTACTGCTACTACTGCTACTACTGCTACTGCTACTACTGCTACTACTGCTACTGCTACTACTGCTACTGCTATACTGCTACTACTGCTACTACTGCTACTACTGCTACTACTGCTACTACTGCTACTACTGCTACTACTGCTACTACTGCTACTACTGCTACTACTGCTACTACTGCTACTACTGCTACTACTGCTACTACTGCTACTACTGCTGCTACTGCTACCACTGCTACTACTGCTGCTACTGCTACTACTACTACTACTACTACTACTTACTACAGCGGCTTAGTAAAGGGGTTTAGGGTTTGAGGATTCCTCAGGAGAGCTTGGGGGTTGAGGGCTTAGGGTTGTGAGTGTTTAAGGAGGCTCCTGAACAGCATGTAGATTCCTTACAAGGGTTATTCTAGGGCTTAGGCTTCCGCGAAACTTATTAAGGGTTTACGCTTGAGGGTTCCTTGAAGACGTTCAGGGTTCGAGGGTTTTGTGCTAGTCACAGGGCCTATTTGGGTGTTTGGGGGTTTTAGGGTTGCTTTAGCAGGGCTCTTGACTGGCAAGGGTCGTGTTAGGGTTATGTCAGCATTATAAGGCCTTTAGGGCTTTGGGCTGCCGTAATAAGTTGGTTCTGCAAGTTGAAAGTGGGACCCAGAGAGCCCAATATCTCTTAATTAAGGAATATGGCTTAAATTATGTAGGGCTTCATATGAATTCTGGGGACCAGTGGGAGCAGCTCATCTCTTGGAGCTTCACTCCTTTGCGAACTACGCAGTGCGCCCGTGGTTACGGCTTCTTCTTGAACTTCTCGCCGTTTAGGGTTTAGGGTTTAGTTTGAGTCGCAGATCCCAAGGGCAGCAAAATCTAGATCTGCAGGCACCGGGGCCAGATTTAAACCAGAGTGCCGATTCCAGGACCCATGGCATGCCCACCCATGATTCATGTCCTGCCCCCTGCGGCATCTACGTACTGCTCGTCTTTGTGTTCCAGTACGGTTATCAGGCTTTCTAGCGGAGAATGGGTGAAATGCATGATTGCTGACGGTAGCACCTTGTTATACTCAGTATCATCAGATCCTCATCGTTCTCATTCCCATCATCCTTGTACTTCCTATCCTCATCTTAGTTTGCTGAGTTCATAAGCCCCCAAGAGTGTACACTTTCAGTTTTATACAGGGCCATATTATCCCAAAAAATGTAAAGTGTCTCCACTCAGCTACTAAGTCATGAACAGACTTGAAGAACCCAACAAGAACTGCGGCTCTTGACAGCCAAGCTGCTCCATGTCTCTGGCAGTGAGCCTCGTAGTATCCTGTGCTTCGGATGTTGTGGCGCGAAGAGGTTTTCTAGGGCCCCAAACAGGCACATAAGCAAAAACGAGGACAGGGATATCCCATATAACCCCCTTTTTTGATGAAGCCCTATACGGTAGGGATATCCTTATAAAGTGCTTATGCTTATGTCCTTTTCGGGTCCCTAAGTTTCTCTTGAACAGGGGCTGCTGTGAAGTTGGAGCAAGTTCGAGAACATTTGGATCCTTCCTAACGAGTTCCCAGAGAGCCCAATACCCCTTAATTAAGGAATATGGCTAAAATTATATAAGGCTTCATATCAAGATTTAAGCAAAATTCCTGAATAAAGGAATATGGCTTAAACTATATAGGGCTTCATATTGAGATTTAAGCTATATTCCTGAATTAAGGGGTATTGGGCTCTCTGGGATTCAGTGTACCCCGGACCAAGGCGACAGTCTCTGCTGTAGAACCCCAAAGGGTCCCAAGTACCTGTATAGCAGAATGTAGGGATTCTATATTAGCCACGGTTTAGGGTTTAGGGTTTAGGGGTAGTTACTATTATGATTTGGGGAAGTATTCCCCATAACAGTACCTAGGACCCTTTGGGAACAGTTTCAGCTGGGTTTCGCAGGTGCGGGGCGAAGCACTAAAGGTACGAGTCCCCTGAGTCTCCAAGTTTGGGCTGTCGCGATCTGGGGACAGCTGTACTCCGGAAACAAAAGGGCCGTAACTGCAATCATTGAAGGCAGGTTGCACGAAGCGCTGTCTCGGAAATGGGAGCCTAAACCCCAAACCTCTTACTCCCGGGCACAGTTTCTCTGGGGGAACTCTCCAAAAACTGAAACGCAAACTCAGCCCCGAAACCCCCTAAATGTCCCAAAGCCGCAGCCGCAGAAAACCGTCAACAATATCAGTGATAGCTAACCCTGGGGCTAAAGGTACTCATACAGCAGCTTAGCAAGCATATAAAATACACCATGGGAGCCGATTGTCTACTTGGAGGATCATGGGACTTAGTAAGTAAGGTTATAAGTACCTTAATTGGGGTTACAAGTATCGTTACCGTAATTATAACCCTAGTTACTAAGTCCCATGATCCTTTAAGTAGACCCTATACATCCCCTTTTTTAATAGAAGCCCTATAGATCCCTTTAAAGGAGCCCTTTAAGGAACCCTAGTTACTAAGTCCCATGCATCCTTTAAGTAGCTATCTGGTGGAGCCCTAGGGTCAGGTGCTTCTGCTTTAGCCGTAGGTTTAGGGTTTAGGGTTTAGGGTTTAAGGTAAAAGCCAGAAAGTTGGAATATGGATTAATGGTAGGATCCCCTATACTTTACCTTAAAGGGGTTACGATAATGATATTCCAACTTTCTGGCTTCTACTGTATATACATGCTGAGTTTGCTGATGCTCAGAAACCCAGATTCGCAACAACAATCTTGGGGTTTAGGGCTTCCGGGCGTTTAGGTTTTCTGGCGACTTGAGTGGGAGGCAGTTCTTGACTTGAGCCTTGTGGTTCGAGGTCCTGTGATGGGCAGTTTTAGGCTTTAGGGTTTAGGGATTTAGGGTTTTAGGGGTTTAGGGTTTAGGGGTTTAGGGGTTTAGGCTTACCTTTCAGGATTTAGGAAAGCCGGGTTTGAAACTGTCAGAATCGACCGCAGCTTCGTTCTTCAGGGATTGGGAAGTATTGGGACGTCCGCACTCAAGGAACCAGACCATGTTGGCATAGACTCTGGAAGCCAGTTCACTTCTTTGATTGCCATCTTTTATAAGACACGACCCTAAGTGTCAAGCAAGCTAGTCAAACAGTCTAACCTTCTATACTAAACTATAGCTATAATAAGGGAGCCCCACGAGGCACCCACCCTACACCCTAAACTTGGCCCTGAACCCTAAACTTGGCCCTGAACCCTAAGCACTTACCCTACAACCTAGGGTGCAGCCCGGCTGCGGAAAACAAAGTAGCCGGTGATGCCAATGACCCCTGGGCAGCAGGTCCCCCATGCACCCTTCGACTCGCAAAAGCGCGGATGCCTATCTGGCGACATGTATGCACACATGCATGCATGCATGCATGTATGCATGCATGCATGTAGATATGCATGTATGTATGTATGTATGTGTTCATGTATGTATGTTAACAAAACATATAAATACATGCACTGTCTGTACATACTCGCATGCATATTTGATACAGTAACTACACTAGGCATCCAGATGACGATAAGGGGGCACGATCAACTAATTCCAAAGATAAGACCAGGGTGCCCAAATCACCAAACCATAAGTAAGTGGTGGCGGGCACACTTTGACAAGAAGACTGGCATTACTAATGCTTGATGTTCCGGCGGTCTGATCACCATTCTGCTTCAGGGCATCGCGAGGGATGCCCTCACTCGCTCTAAGGCGCAGGCACAGCATTCCTTGGCACAATCCACCGCCCAGAGAGCCCAATACTCCCTAATTAAGGAATATGGCTTAAATTATATAGGGCTTCATATTATGATTTAAGATATATTCCTTAATTAAGGGGTATTGGGCTCTCTGGGCGGTTCGGGACTTGATGGACCAGGGATTTAGAAAGCAAGGTCCACAGTCGGAAGTGTAAGCAAGGAAGGCTCATAAGTGTCACTTATCTGTTATAGACTATTTACTTACATCTACTTCCCGTGTCCAATGACTCCCAAGTACATAGTTGCTGAGTTCATAAGCCCCAAAACAATGTACACTTTCAGCTTTATATTGGGTAGTATCATCCCAAAAAGCGCCAAGTGTATCCACTCAGTTACTAAGAGTACATGGGGGTTTCCGAAAATAGAGGTACCTTGTTTTGGGGTCCTTATAATAAGGATCCTATTATTTAGGCTACAATATTAGGGTCCCCTATTTTCGGAAACTCCCACAAAGCATTCGATTGTTGTTTCCTTCTGTCGGGTTCGGCTCTTCGGGCTTCAGGGTCCCAAGAATCTGAGCATCCGGGCATGCAGAACCGCTCTGGTTTTAAGGGTTCCTTGTAAAGGGATGTATAGGGGTTCCTTGAGGGTTTAGGGTGTTCAGGGTGTTTAGGGTTTAGGATATTAGGCTTGTGTGTTTAGTGTTGAAAGTAACTTCGAGGAACACAACTTGCTCCTCCCTATCAGCCCACAACGCCTCGCAGGTCTTGACTTATGCTGTGTGCTTGGGGTTCTATACAGGTTAAAGCAAGGCTTCTAAAATGGACTAGTTGGGTCTGTGTTCGAGGCCTTTTTCATCCTGTATGTTACAAGGCTACGGCCTACACTCTCAAACGCCAAGAGCACACCCAAGTTCACACTCGCCAGGCTCCAAACTCGAAACTGCCAAAATCTTGAAGGCATCCTTATCAATGCCCAAGTGTCTTGGAGGGAGCAGTATCCGAAAAACGTCCATAATGCCTGCGCTGGCACCATCGCGCCACTATACAAGGAGCAATACATTGATTAATTGGAGGATCATGCGGCTCAGTAAGTAAGGTTATAAGTACCCTAATAAGGGTTAAAGTTATAAGTATAGTTACCCTAATTATAACCCGAGCTACTAAGTCCCATGATCCTTTATGTACTAGAGGGGCCTTGATCTAATCAGAAGACCCAAAGGGGTCCTAGGTACTGTTATGACAAATACTTCCCCAAATCATAACAGTAATTCTTAATATAGAAACCCTACATTCTATTATATGGGTACTTTGGACCCTTTGCGAGAGTTTTGTCAGGCTGGTTACAAGACGACCTATCTTAGACGGGAGATGCAACAAACGCGTGGCAGCGCAGGGGCCTGGGGCAGATGCAGGGGCAGGGGCTGCAACTTAAACTCAGTAAGTTCAACGTCCTGTTGACACCCTAATGCAGCACCACGAAGACAACTATCAAAACAACGACGTGACATCGCACCTAGGCGTGCATTGCTTCCGCTGCCGTACTTTTCCATCAGCTCCACGTCCGTCATCTTTGCCATGGCCTGCGCAGAGACTGCGAGCCGGCAAAAAATCAAAAATCTAGAATCTAGCATAACTCTAAGGCTCAAAAGCCTTGTAAAATATGGCTTTTAGGCCTAAAAGCCTTAAAATGTGAGTCCTTAGAGCTTTAGGGTAAGTGATAGGGAGGCTGCTATCATAATCTAAGGGATAAGAGGCAATTGGGTAGCAGCATCCTTGAGGTTTCTCAGGGATTCATGAAGGTCTTCGGGCTTATCCAAGCGGAAAAGGAGGGACCTTTAATGGGGACCCTTGGGCTATATAATGGGTATATGATAGCTATATTAAGGGTATATACCTACGGGTCCTTATTAAGGGTCCCTCCTTTTGCACTGGAGTTTAGGGTCGAGCTTAGGTAAGGGGTGCTTCGGGTCGGTTCCTACCCGAAAGTGTGCATATGGGAGTTTCCGAAAATAAGGGGTACCTTACTTTGGGGTCCTTATTATAAGGATCCTACTATTCACTACTTTCGGAAATTCCCATATGACAGTCTCAAGACGCTCATGCGACCCTGCTTGCCATCATCTATTGAACCTGCAAGGCCAAAAGAAACAGCACCAAACATGTGCTAAGCCCTAAACACTACGCCCTTCATGATCTCTGGGTCTCTATGCCCCCGAAACTGAGCCTGAAAAAACTAGAACTTTATGACAAAGCAACCCGAAAGAAACTAGAAAAGGGCCTCCACATCGAAGAGAGGGTAGTCCTCGTGGCAGAGCTTCGCATGCAGTTATTGTTTAAAACTCTTTGGGTTTTATGAGATATCCTAGACCCAAGTGTAAAGAGAAACAAAAAGGATACCCTTTTCGGTTGTTTAAGGGGCTTTGTAAGGCAACCTGAACCCTTGAAAGGGAATAGGGACGTACTCTAGGTCCTACGGTTGATGACATAAATCCTGCATTACCTTAAGGTTCCTAAACTATGGGAATTATGGTACATTCTTTATTATGGGTAATGCAGGATTTCTATCATCAACCGTAGTATCCTTTCTCCTCAGAACCCCACAGGTCTTCTGAAGACTGCCGCTCGGGTCGGGTTTACGATCTAAGGGTTCCGGGTTTTGGAGTTTTAGGGGATGAGCTCGTAGCAATTGGGGTTCAGTTTAGGCTTTGTGTTTTGGGGTTTCGGATTTTCGGGTTCAGTACTTGGGGGTGTGAGGCTCTGAAACTGTACCTCCAACCGGAAGGACCTACCTCTTGACGGTGGCCGTCTGGGTTTTTTATAACTGTCTTGTGAGGCTCTTTGCAAGGTTCCACTAGACGAGGTGTTGAGTAGTTTAATGGGGCTTGCTGAATTGTGTCTTGCGGGTTCTTCTGTCTTCAGCCTCGGGTGCAGGATTGTGGACGTGGGCCGAGAGCCAAACTCCTCCTGAGTCCTGGGCTTGGTTAGAGGGATCCTTTGTGATGTTAAGTAAATTGTTTTTAGTCTTCCGATCCTTCAAGAATGCCCGAATGCCCTCGCCAGACACAAAAAAATCCTGCGAAGCTCTGAAAAAGCTTTACTTCCAGGGTAAAAGGAGGGACCCTTATAGGGTAGGGGTCCCTCCTTTTCCCCTTGGATTTACAGCACCTGAGGGCTCAGTCCTTGCAGCTAGACAACATGGTCAGAGTCGACTGCGAAGTCAGAGTCTCGCCTCGGCTGCTGTGGGGTTTAACATACCCAGAGACTCCAATATCCCTTAATTAAGGAATATATACCTTAAATCATATTAAGGATCCTACTATAATTTAAGGTATATTCCTTAATTAAGGGATATTGGAGTCTCTGGGTACGGGCCTTTATCATTAGAATAGGGTTTTGGGGGGTATACTATACTATAATCTATACTATACTATAATCATAATGGGGGTATACTATACTATAATCATAATAAGGAGCCCGGCGCAATAGTATTGGTATTTATTTAAGCCCCGATGGTATAGGGTTTGGGGTTCCGGCTGAGGGATCCTTGGTTGCAAAGCGCCTTTGAGGATTCGCTTTTGGCTCTATGGATGATGTTGGCATTTCAAGGCTTTCGGCTGCGAATGCAGTCCAGTTTTTTGCGGTTTAGGGTTGGAGGGCGGGCGGTTCGTTTCTCGGGCTTTAGGATTTAGTTTTTAAGCTTGTATGGCGGGTTCCTGCTCCGCGCCACTGTAGCCCATGACTGCTAGGTCTAGTTATAGGTTTTTGCGACCTTGTCCCTACCGCTACTGCTACTCCTGCTCCTACTCTACTACTCCCACTACTACTACTACTACTACTACTACTACTACTACTACTACTACTACTACTACTACTACTACTACTACTACTACTGCTACTGCTACCGCTACCGCTACCGCTACCGCTACCGCTACCGCTACCGCTACCGCTACCGCTACTGCTACCGCTACCGCTCCCGCTACCGCTACCGCTACCGCTACTGCGGCTGCGACTGCGACTGCGAATACGACGACGACAACTACGACTACTACGACGACGACTACTACTACTCCTTTCTGCTGCTTCTGCTGCCACTACGGCCGTAAACCCCTCACCTCCTCTTGGGGCTCCTATCTCAGTCAGTATCGAACGCCAAGCTTTGGCAAAGGAGCAGATCATCTCATCGATTGAAAGAATGAAAGTCAACCTGGCAGTGCAGGATTAGGCCAAGGCTTTTAAGGGTTCGTCAGAAATGGTGTTCAGCATAAGTTCCAAAGCAAACCCTAAACCTTTGACGCGGTATGAAGAGAGAATGCCAGTCGCTACTTCTAGACCCCAAACCGAACGGTCAGAAATTTGGGAGAAGGTTTTTTGGTAATTTGTTTGGTCTTTGGGGTTCAGGGTTTGGGGCTCCAGTCCAGACTGGCGAGTCTAGGCCGCAGCATAACTGCATTTACGAGATTTTAAAGGGTTCTTGTGGAGCTTGAGCGGATACTCAACAAATGTAGCCTTTCGACGGTTTCCAAGGCTTCTGAAATCTGAAATCTTTTAGTATATTTGCAAGGCTTGCCTATACAGGGCCTTAATAAGTAGAATAGGGTTTCGGGCATATCCTCGTACTAACTGAAAGGACGAGAAAAGGGTGTTATGCAGAGTGGTTTTAGTGTACACTAAAATCTGAACCCACAATCCTACTGAAACCCAACCAAGTCCGAGCAAGTCTTCTCCGGGTGCCCAGGAGCGCAATTGAGTTGACCACTAAGTCCGAGATCGAGGATGTCTCCATGAGGAAGACAACGCCTGGAGATAGTCTTGCGGTTTGGGGTCGCTAGGGTTGAGGGCGTTGTGTTCAGGGGTCGAGGCTGCCGCCGAGAAGCAGACAACGTAGTTTTTTTTGGTAAGGGCTTGTCGCAATTTACAAGGTTTGTATAGGGTTTTAGCTAGCAACGTCTGGATATAGTTTTCTTTCTCTAGGGTATCATAAGGTTCAGAGGGTTTGCATCGGGTTGTCTAGGGTTTACAAGGCTTCCTTGCTGGGGGGGGGGGGGGTTGGGTTTCGAGTCTTTAACTACTGAAATTATACAGGCCTCTATAGGGGCTAATCCGGTTTTATCAGGCTTATAGGACTCCATGTTTTTCGGTTCAGGGTTCAGGATTAAGGGTTCAGGGCTGTCGGGCTTTGAGTTTAGGTTTTAGTTTAAGGGGTTTGGGTTCAGGTTGTGGATTTCGATTTTGGGTTTGGTGTTTGTGATATTTTACGAGGTGTGATAGGGTTTTCCTGGATTTGGGGTTTGGGATTGCAGGTTTGTATAAGGGTTTCAATGGGGGTTGAATTTGCGGATCGAATGAACAAGGTTCACAAGGTTCTATGGTCTATGGCACGCAGACCTTGCTTGTACAGGAATAAACAAGTCATTTTTTTGGAGGTTGTACAAGGTTCTATCGGGACTGATAGGGCTTGAACAAAGGTGACATGTAAAACCCTTGGCAAACCTTATCGGGCTGTCTTGCGCAATCTCCTGCAGCTCACTTTCCAGATGCGCTTAATAGACAGCATCTTGGAATGCCGATGACAGCCAGTCTTCGTATCTCCACACCCACTTCCACACCCGATTGGGATCTCTCCCCCTGTGCCAGAAGGCGTGGGGACGTCGTCGTCTCATAAAGTATCTGAAGCACAGGATGTTGACGCAGAGCTGCTTTCTAGTATCGTCCTGCAGCCAGCGGTTCGCGGGCTCGAGCGGACGCAGCTCCTGCGCTCGGAAAGTCACCGAGCTGTGAATGCCGAGCTTTGGCGCCTCCATACGGTCGCGCATCCTTTCCATCATAGCCGCAAGTCTTGCAGAGTTTGTGGCTCTGCTTCCGGCTTTCGTGAGTGCTATTTTGCTGATCATCGAGCCGCCTTTGTATATCCACTCCGGCCATGGAGTTAGATTTTCACGAAACAGTGACGGACAGGATGTACGATCCCTGCACCTCTAATGCATGACTTCTGTTCTCATTCTGCATGCATGCTCACGTATGTATACAACGATAAGTCGCCCTGCAGAACATCAGATTGACCAAGCCTGTTTGCACGGTGAGCTTCCACACAAGCATCTTGGGCAGTAGCACCAGCCTCGCTTGGCATTGGGTCTCAGGCATCTCAGACAGCTTTCGGTATCTTATGTTTGCTTGCTTTGTTTCACCTGTAGAATTCGAAAAGATTTTCGGGGCATGACTCAGTATGTAAGGAGCGGGAGCCCACCGCCATTTTATTTTACGGACCCTGTCCACTAGCCTTTGAAGATCAGGAGACGTGGTGAGTAATGTTTTACAGGGACCTTTACAGAGCATAAGCAAATCTAGCTATAATATTTGCCAAACATATAACCCTCCTCTTGGACTCTAAAATCCTTCAAGTACGAAGTTCGTCCGGTTCGAGCATCTCATGTCGGTTTGAGTCTCTGAGGTTTCACAGGCAGCGCGCAGCCCCAATTCTCATGCTAATTAGATGGGCCTACATCTCTAGGCTCTTCAGTAGCTCCTTAAGAATACGAGCGCGCTTCATTGTGAACTGTGACGAATAGGTAGTCCCCAAGAATGAAACGGTGATAAAGGTACTACTGAGCGACCTAGATGTAGTTTAAATCTAGAAACCTACTGCCCCAAAGTCTTGCAGACCGAACCTGAAACCTCCAACCTGCCGATGCGCTGAAGCCGAAATCCGCAACCTTGAAATCCAAGCCGGGCCCCCAAACAGATCTTCCATGTTTGGCTCCCAAAAAAGCCAGATGATGAGGATTCAGGATTCCGGAATGAACTTTTCTCTAGACTAGGTGGGGCTTTTAAAGCCCCTAAAAAATATTAGTAAATAAGATCCTCTTAAGCCCAATAAGGGAAAATATGCAATGTCCCAAAGCCCTACCTAGTAGACCTTTCCCTGAGCCCTGAGCTTCGATCTCTCCCTCAAGAATGAAGGTTTCGGGTTTGACGTCTCGTGTAAAGGTTTCGACGTTAGGGTCGAAGGTTAGGGTTCCGATGTGCAAACTGAGGGTCAGGGCCTCTGGGGAGTTCTAATGCCAGTAGGATTGTGGGGACATCATGGTATACCCTAGCAGAATTATGCTCAGGAAACCTGAAGAATCGTGTTGCTAATTACTCCGGCCACTACGTGATGGGTACGAGGACAATACCCAGAGGGTGCAAGGATGCCACCGTAATGGAAATAGCCCCAGAAAACCATTGTTATCAGGGTTTTTGGAACCTAGAAGTTTCATAATACACGCCAAGTGGTAGCACTTATATGGGTGGTTGTCAATATTAGCTTCCCTGTTTGGGTCCCCGTTGTAATACGGCACCTAATATTTAGGGTGCCCAAAAAGGGACCATAATTTTGACAACCACCCATATGTGGCCTCGTGAGTAGGAGTCTTATAGATGGCAATGGGGCGCACAGCTCTAGGGCGAAATGCTCAGGAGCCGAGTCGCAAAGCGTTGATGACCTGAAGGTGGCTTCGGTTTGCTATTTGGGGGGCGAGAGGATTTAGAAATTAAGGTTTGGGCTTAGGGCAAGGCTACCTTCCGTACAGACCTCTTTTTCTGAGTTCCGCGATCCGGTGATGGGATGAAGGAGTTCTCGGACCAGGATGAGCTTCATAGCGATGGGGAAAGTCTGACTTCACTAATCGGGTGCATCGTCAAAACTCGAACTGGGACAAGCCTCAGCGACATCTGTCGACATGAGACACAGAAGCCTAAATCGCCTAAACCCCACAACCTCCATGTGTCCCGTCTAGACCTCATGTAGAGACCTTGCATGCAGAACCCTTGTAACACTCCGTGAACCCCTGACACGGAACAGGGCTCAATGCTGAGGGTGTCTGCCGTTTTGAACTCTTGCCCAGAGGGTCCATATATACTACCAGTATGGAATTAGGTCCCAAAAGGCCATCCCCGTTATGGCTTTGGGAACCTAATTCCATAATAGCAGGGTATATGGACCCTCTTGGCCGCTTCAGCCGAGACCTTGCCTCGTCGTAAGTTTGGTAGCACTCGAAACCCTACGCCCCGTGAAAAAAAAACTACTGTCCCAGTCATACATGACGTGTAGGGGCAATTAGGACACCCATTAAGTGCGAAGTCTGTTGATCCTGTTCCTCTCAGAAGGCGCTATCCTCTTGCACACCACATGGGAGTTTCCGGCAATAGTGGACCCTAATATAGTACTACCCTAAATAGTAGGATCCTCACTACAAGGACACAAAAAATCAGGTACGAGTACCCCAATTTTCGAAAACTCCCACATCGAGGTTCCGGGCAGGGCATGGCGAACCGGAGGGTATCGGAATTCGGGTGATCTGGCGACTCTGTGGAGGTCGTGTGCATTGAGGCACCTCACCCAAACTACCCAAACCCTATACCTTAGAAGCTGCCCGCACCCTGTAATAGTGGTATAATCGGAATATAATAGGGCCGTAATATCATCCTTATAGTCACTATTACAGGGTGGGGGCTGCTTCTAGCCTATACCCTAAACCCTGAACTGACGCTTGCCCCCCAAAAAACTCCACTGATGCTGAGACCCCAAACCCCGAAACCCAACGAGGCCTTCCACACGAGGGGCATCCCTGCGATTCTCAAGTTCACATCTTGCAACCTGGGATCCGCTTCTGGGTTGGGGGGCTTCACACTTTTGGGCTCAAGGTTACCCAGACCCCTAAAAGTAAGTAAAATAATGGCCCGAAACCTATAAAAGGCTATTATTCTACATACTTTTGGGTTCAAGGTTAGGCAGGTTTCAATTTAAACCCTAAATCCCTGAACCCTAAACTGGGTTCAAAGGGACGGTTTAAGGCCTACTAAGGGTTTGGGAGTTTGGGAGATCGGGGTCTTGAGCTCAGGGCTGATGGATTCAAGGGAGCTTTCGCGGTTATATGTGCTTCTTTCTACGGAGGCACTTAGGATCCTTTGCGACGGTAGGTTTTTGTGGGGCCTGGGGTTTGGAGTTTAAGTTTATAGTGTTCCAGGGCCAAGCCAATGGCTGTTTGAGTGGGTTCACGCTTCTTGGCTGCCATGGCCTGTTCTAGACCCAAAGGGTCCTAAGGTCCTATATGGTAGAATGTCGGGTTTGTACATTCGGAATTACTACGATGGTTTGGGTAATTAAGTGTTCCCCATTTAGGTGCTTAGGACCTTTTGGGAGGTGCTGTCATCTCATTCGGGTTTGGGATTTGGGGGCTTCAGGGCAAAACCCTCAACCCTGACTTCTGGCTTGGCCACAGAGGCATTGGAAAAAACTATACAAAGATCATGACAGGACCAGCCTTCAACCCAGAAAGCAAAGAAGCTATCCTTCAGTCTTTGTGAATTAGACGCAGAGGTTTGCTCCAGGTCTCCATTTCCTTGTTTCCTCCCTTGCCATCACTACATTACATCTCGCACAGTACACCCTTAAAGCATATGTACATACATATCTCGATTGCACTCAACGCTACGCCATCGAACAGGCACCAACCGCACACAGATTCTGCTGCCCATAATCTGTACTCGTGATCCCTGCTGTTGTTGCCCTCGGCCCAACCACCCAAACTTGCTGAACCCGAAAACCCTGAACCCTAAACCCTAAAACCCTAAACCCAAACCCCCAAACCCTAAACCCCCAAACCCAGAAAACCCCTAAACCCAGAAAACCCCTAAACCCAGAAAACCCCTAAACCCCTAAACCCTAAACCCCGCTTCATCCCTGGAGTGGCCCATGAAAACAAAGAGTCGCCCGAAGCCCCGAGCCTCCAAGCCTTTAATGGG